TTGTGTAGGGTGTGAGATGTGGATCCTGTTTTAGCTTTCTGCAGGTGGCAGTACAGTTTTAAGGCTGAATTCTTTGATCTTCCGCATCAAATACTTCAAGTTCTCCTCATTTTCAACAAGCAAGGTTGTGTCATCTGCATAAGGCAGGTAATTGATAAGTCCTCCTCCAATCTTGATGCCATATTTTTCTTCATAGAGTGCAGCTTCTGAAATAATTTGCTCATCATACAGATTGAATATGTATGGATAAAGAATACAACTCAGGTGCACTTCTTTAATTTTAAACCATGTAGTCTTTCCTTGTTGGTCTAAGTTTCACATGAGTGCAATTAAGTGCTCTGAGATTCCCATTTCTCTCAATGTTAGCAATCATTTTTTATGATCCACACAGTAAAATGCCTTTACATAGTCAATAAAGTATAAACACATTCTTCTGGTATTCTTCACTTCCTGCCCAGATCCATCTGACATCAACAATGATACCCATGGTGCCACGGCCTCTTCTAACTCCTGCTTGAACTTCTGGCAGTTTCCTATCTATGTATTGTTCTAGCTAGTTTTTGATGATCTACTGCTAAAGGTGATTTAATCCTAGACCAGAGGAAACAATAGCTATAAAAAGGCATTTTCAGGACTGTTGGTAACATTTAAATATGGAATATGTATTAAATAATAAATAGAAAGACAATAAACTTAAAAGTAGAGGAATATTTAAAGAGAGGAAAACTTTCAACATGTTGTGGTCACAATGACTACACCAGTGGACCTGAGTATGGCAGGGGTTGTGAGTATGGTGCAAAACAGAGCAAAGTTTCCATCTTTTTTTCATGAGGTTGCTAAAGTTGACTGCATAGTGCCTAAAATAATAACAGTATTATCTCAATGTTAAGTGCACTAAAGTTCAACATTATACTATGTTTCTACAAGAAGAATATCCTTGTTCTTAGGAAATAAATGCTGAAATATTTAGAGGTAAAATGTCATCAAATCTACAGCAGACTCTCAAATGGTTTAGAAAAAAAATAAGTTATGCAAAGGTGTTTGACTGTGTGGATCATAACAAACTGTGGCTGACTTGAGAAGAATGGGAATCCCAGAAAACTTGATCGTTCTAATGTGAAACCTATACTTGTACCAAGAGGCAGATGTCAGAACAGAGCAAGGAAACATGCCATGGTTCAAAATTGGGAAAGGTGTACGCCAGGAATGTGTCCTATCTCCATACCTTTTCAACCTGTATGCAGAACAGATTATCCGAGAGGCTGGGCTCTATGAGGAGAATTGTGGCATCAGGATTGGT